GATTTCAGACTTTTTTTAAGCTGAGTCATCCAAATACTTGTAAGCTGAGTCATTCAGAATAAGCTGAGTCAGCTAGAATATAGACATTTAGACAACTCTTAAGAATGTTATCTTCGACTCCATTGGCTTAACATGGGGATATCATCATATCGACTTTTCAAGACTTCAAACCGCTATAACTATCTAATCAGAAGTTGGATCGAAATTTGGTTTAAAGATTCTGATTCCTGAGAAAATTCTACCCTTAATGCATAACTCATACTTTAAATTTGGAGAACTTTTTATTTTGACCTACTTTTCAGACACCATATCTCAAAAGTGGGTCAAAATACTCTATGACGGCAGAAGGCTTACACTATAAGCACACTCTTTGCTACCTGTATACAAAATTTCGAAGCAAATCAATAAAGTATAATGTCAGAATCGCAAAAATAAGGAAAAACTATGATTTTGACCTAGATTTTGACCTAGGCATTTTGGTGTCCAAATTTTAAAGCTAGATAGCCTTCGAGGTCCCCTTCTTTTATAGGCTTTCAGAATGTTAAGCTGTACTCAGTTTATATCTGGTATTTTACACTTCAAAAAATATTTTTTCTCATTGACATAACATGGGGCACCAAATTTAGCGATTTTTGAGCTTTCAAAACGCCATAACTTCCGAATCGAAATTTGGTTTGCAGATTCGGATTTCTGGGAAAATTCTACCCTTTATTCATAGCTCATATGTTAAATTTGGAGAACTTTTTATTTTGACCTACTTTTCGGACACCATATCTCAAAAGTGGGTCAAAAAACTTTCTGACGGCAAAAGGCTAACACTATTAGCACACTCTTTGCTACATGTATACAAAATTTTGAAGTAAATTATTAAAGTGTAGTGTCAGAATCGTAAAAATAAGGAAAAACTATGAATTTGACCTAGATTTTGACCTAGGCATTTTGGTGTCCAAATTTTGAAGCTATGTAGCTTTTGAGGTCCCATTCTTTTAAAAGCATTCATTATGTTAAGCTGTACCCAGTCTATATCTTGTATTTTACACTTCGAAAAAAGTCTTTTTTCTTATTGACTTAACATAGGCACCAAACCGGAACCGGAAGTCTGATCCAAATTTGGTTTGCAGATTCGGATTCCTGAGATCATTCTACACTTATTTCATAACTCACATGTTGAATTTGGAGACCTTTTTCTTCTGACCTACTTTCTGGACGCCATATCTCAAAATCGGTAAGAGTAATCAAAATTCTGATGCCATATTTTTGATTCGCCTTTTTCTAAGCTACACGATGAAAAAAAGATGAAGGAGTTATGAAGAATATTGACGAAGATATGATGAAGAATGTTGAAAATGTAAGATTTGACCTAGTTCTTGACCTTTGACCTAGATAAAAATTTGACCTGATTTCCCAGAAAGCCGGATACAGTCTTTAGTTAACCATGTAAGTTGGATTAAGTAAGATGTTATAGTTGGAGAGAAAATCTGTTAGGAGGAAGAAAGAAAAAAGAAAAAGAATAATAAAAAGAAAACAGGCAAAAACAATAGACTCCAGATTTTCAATCTGGAGTCTAATTATACACATATTTTCTAGATTTTGCTCTTTGGTTTAATAATAAGTACATTGTATCATTGTGACAAAAATAGTTGCATCAGATCAGAGGAATTGGGACTGTTTGCCATTTGTTGTGTTCATACAATTCAGCTGTACATGCTAGTACAGGTTTTACACCAGCTTTCTTAATATTTGGTAGAGGAATTAGACCTACATCTGATCTATTTTTGGGCCCACTGCCTGATGTAGAACGTGGTTTGGTTGATAGTACCTATTACACTAACTCACGGGTAACTAGAGTATCCGCGTATATTGAGTATGACCGGTTCTTAGGCTACGAATATGACCTGTTTTGGAAAGTCATGAGAGGCACAGCTGCTTAAAAATGGAAAATAAAGGTTAACTTCTATATTATCCTTTTTGAAATTGTGTTTGTTGAATATAGTTTCTGCTGTATTTAATAGTAATGTAACAAAAAAATGTTAAACATGAGCTATTTTAGCAATGTAACTGTTCATAATGGAATATCAATCAGAAAGTACAGATTTCTCGCCTTAGAGCCAAATCATTAATATCACAGTAGAAAAAAACAAATCCCAAACCTTTTTATGGCTAACCTGAACAAGATCTCCAAATCTCAGTTTATATGATCCCCGTAGCGTGAGCAAGAGAAGGATTTATCTTTTCCCAGAGGATACGCTTGTGAAATGTCATGGAAACGAGTGTAACACGGCCCACTGATTGTTTCACAACCATATTCTCCAATAATGGGGCACCAGTGACATTCGTATTCTCAAAAATTCAAAGATGTATCATATTTGGACAGAGCAGGCTAAATTATTTAAAATATTCATGACTAATTCGTAGATCTAGCTATATATTATACATAAGATGTGTCATCCTCTTCGGAGTTGCGTTGTGTTACACAAAAACTGATCAAAGATGCTGGAAACTAGGATTTTACGGCTTCAATCTAATATTAATACGTTTTCTCTTAATTAAGGCCCCTTGTGATATGCCTGGCATTATAAGTATACCAAGTATCATTCATTGACCAAGTAGGATAAAAAGAAAACGTTCGAAAGTGTTCATAAAAAGCAAGTACTCACCTCGTCTGTTTATAGGAACAGAAATACGGTCACACTCGTAAGCTTAGAACCGGTCATACTCAATATACACGGATACTCTAGTATCCCGTGCTAACTATTATCATGATTTGTAATCTACTATGCTGAAGGTTCATGATATAGCTTAAGGAAACATATTCAAATAGCAAGTAACAGACAGAAACGTGGGTATGATATTAAATCAAACACAAAGTGGTATGAACATTGTTCTTTGGTTTGGGTACATGTTCCAGCAGTGAAGGTTGGTCAAAGTCCTAAGATGCCATTAAAATGATTTGAGGTATCAGGTCAAAACAAAGGACAAGGATACAAGAATTATACATCATGATCGTTTGAAGAACTATCTGGGCATTGACAGTTCTGATGATGATATTGAAAATATGAAGTGATGCTATTGACAGTGAGGTTGAAATTATTGGGTCCAAGGGAAATGGGAGGCAAAGGGTTCGCAGAAAGCCAGCCTGGATGAATGAACTTGAAGTATATTAAGTTTTTGGTTTGATTGTTGATAATGAGGGTGAATTTATTTGCAGATGTGCAAAACTCTGTATCCTCCTCCAGAGGGGAGAAAGGTCAATAGACATGGATATGCTAGAAACGCTTTGGTTCTCAAGACGACCTATGGAGACACATTGAATTCTCACATAAAATGACTCTACGTTGCAAGAGAGTAATAATGAAGGACCCACAGTCCTATGCTCACACAGTTTGGAACCTTCAGAGGAATTTATATCCTGACTTTCAAACAAAAATATTGATTTGGATTTGTAGTCTCGAACTTTGAGAAACTTAGATAGCATAGTTATGTGACCTAGTTTGATGACCTTTGACCTTGAAAATTTTACTTATTCAGAGCTCAGTAAGGTCTTTTGTGATTAAGCTGACCAAAATTTACATCCAAAAATCAATTTGAAAAATCAACTTTTTTGACCTTTCGAAGGTCACTGAAGGTCAAGTAAAGGTCAAATCCTAAAACTAATGTCAGATTTGAACTCCTGGCAACTTGTAGATGATTTTCAAAAAAAAAATTGGTCAAATTGAAGCAAGTTGAAAAATAACTTATTTTTACTGTTTTTTGACATCAAATATTTCAAAAACGGTAAAAATTTGATGCTGACATATATTGAGAAATATGTAGGGAATGCTTAAATCTATTAATGATGTAATTTATTGCAGGAAATGATCAAGTATAAGGCAAACTTTAAGAATCTTGTCAATCACAAAACCTGCCATTGACTTTATACATGAGAAAGTTTCCTGAAAATGAGTCTTACTTTTTTTCAAATTTTATAGAGTAAACACCAAAAACCGTAATTCCAAGAGCTTTGAAATCTTTAGAGGACATAAGTTGCATAGACACCAACTACTAAAAGTTATTTGAAAGTTCTACTTCAACAAAGTGTCTAGTATTTACAGAAAAGTTGACTTTTTGACGTCAAAATCCGCAATTTCTCGGAAACCGGACGAACTTGGGAAATGGCGATGATAGGTCAAATAGGCATTATGGATATGCATAAAATGAATGTGGATATGACTCAATCCGAATAGCAGTTTTAATTTGTGCGGCCAATGTTGACGGACGGACGGACGGACCAACGGACGGACGGACGCCTGGTCAATCCCATAGGCTCACTGTGTGAGCCAAAAAGCACATTCTAGTGCCCAGGGGCTGAACAGGCAAAACTTATATTACATCAACGTAAACACCGAAATCCACGACAAGAACCCAGGGTGTCCCCCTATCCAATGAGCAGATCTAGAGGCCGTCGGCTCATGGGCCTGTCAACGAGACCTTTCAGTTTCTCTGAAGAAAGGCAGAAAGCGTTTCTGATATTTGTTAATGTCTATACCCATAAACACCCCGAGGAAGCTAGTGACTTGCCCCAATATATGTCACAAATACACGAGCTAAAATCTCGAAATTGGGGCAAATAAGACAGGCTTTTCAGAAAAGGCAAGGTCCTGGGCCTGTTGGGATCAGGTTTTTTCATGATTGCTTGAATCTTCCCCGGGGCGATTTCAGGAAATCCAAGGTTTTAAGGGAAAGAAATTCGGGGACAAAGTTGTAACATACTTCACCTCAGATAACCTGGAAGTCAAATCAAACTATATTTTCACTTACCTTCGATTACTTCCAAATACTGTATACTGTATGCTTCTATGAATATCTTTGAGTCATCTGTAAATGAACCATGAACCAAGAACTACGAACCATGTTGGTAAACAGTGAGAAGTTGCAAATGTTTGATATTTTTCGACAAATCTAAAGGAAGAGGTGCGTTTATTGGCAAATAACCCTATGATATCATTCATTTTAAACTAATTATCACTTCTAATCTATATAATCTTCCATATTTATAATATATTGCATGATCATATATTCACCATATTTATATCCATAATAAAACCATTAATATTAATCATATTCATTGTATTCATGTGTGATTTTGTGTGAACCTTTGCCTGCATCCTCACCTAAATTGTATATATTGCACTAAGGAAGAGGGTTAGCTTGCACTTTCCTTATCATTTCTTCACATTGATTATTTTGTGTTTGTGTAACATACCGTCATCTCAGATAACCCGGAACTCAAATCAAAATAACCATATTTTCACTTACCTTCGATTACACCAAATATTATGCTTCTACGAATACCTTTGAGTCATCGATTGTTGATAAACATTAACTCTCAAGACAACCTTTGGAGACATGAACACAGGATGACATTACAGTGCGAATATGTAAACTGCTCCTTTAAGTGCCCAGAGGCTGATCGCGCCAAACTAATACTACACCAGCGAGAGCATCCCAATCCACGTGCGGAACCAAGGGTGTTCCCCTACCCGAAAAGACCTAGAGGCCCTAGGGTAAACTTTCTGCGTTCTACTTCTGGTCGTTCTGGGAAACAGAAAGCGAATGGCACAGAGGCTGGCGAACCGGCATGCGATGGCCAACAGGACCTCCCAGTCCCTCAACAGAAGGAAAGGATATCGGAAAAAGGTTCCGACACAGAAACAGCATCCACCATTTCGGCAGCAGACACTGAACCTTATGGGACAGATTTGATAAACATTACAGACAGTGAAGAAGCTGCAAATGAGAAGGTGATTAATTTCATGGTGGAAAGTAACACAACCGAAGAGTTGGAAAAGAGATTGTTGGATATGCCAGAGATGTTGGACATTGATTTCAATCAATTATAGGACAGCAAAAAGGGAGTTTTAGTACTTTATAACATTGGCATATTTTCATACTGTGTATTAATATACAGATAAGATAATATACCTCGAATAAACTACGTTTATCCAAGTTTGTTGGTTTGTATTTGTATTGTATTGTAGTACCAGATTTTATTGTATTGTATCTTTTAAATTTGTATTGTATAATGGATGTATTGTATTGTATTGTATTCTTTAGACTATGTATTCAGGCCCGTAGCCAGGGGGGGGGGCTCTGGGGGCTCGGACGAGCCCCCCCCCTGATATCTCCTAAAAAAATGTGGACCTACCTTTTTTGGTTACTTGAAGAAAAACTTGCGCTTTCCCACATTCACTGGGCAATTAAGATTAACAAACTGGCATTACAGTTGGGGACATAAATAAATGACAGGTGGATTTGCTGAAGTGAGGATTTCCCATGTTAAAAATAAGAGAATTTACAAGAGGCCATAAATCAGTGGATGAGATTATACAAAATGTAAAATATACAAATTTTAAGGGATATGTATCTAGACAATATTGGAAATTATGGGCTTTCAGACCACCATAATTAGGAAATGGTGATCGAAAATCGACCTGTCATTTATTTTTGTCCCCAACTGTACTGTGCATTGTTTTTCGAATTTCAGGGTTCGATCTTAGCGGTAGCAAGGAGCAAATTTGCTACCTGATTTCACATTTTGCTCCAAAAACTTCGTACACGGGAGCAAATGCTTGCTACCTCAAATTTAAGCAATGAATCTCATGTATTTCAGAGGAAAATCTCCGGCTTTCAATTTAGTTAAACATATCAAATGAAAGAATATAAATTGGCCTACCTTGTGAAGACAAAATCTAAGTATAATAGGCAGATAATCAGCAGTGTTTTAGAGGAACACTGAGATAATTATCTTACCGTAATCCGGCCACCATTTTGATTGACCTCTCAACCAAAACATATAATTGCTTTGAGATTAATGGGTCAGTAGCAAAAAACCTTTATCACTATATTTTGGGTCAGTAGCAAAAAACCTTTATCACTGTCCTGCCAACCTTCAATGGATACTATTATTAACAATTACACATAAACTTGAAAACAAACTGTTTAATTAATACAATTGATTTTCTTGGCATTATCTTACATCATAGTGAGGAAGCACAAAAGGCAACATTTGAAAACAAATAAAATATTACAAGTCAAAAAGACACATCAAATTGAATGTTGATCTTTATATTTCATTGAGATTGATAATATGTCAGAAAGGAATATTGAGTTTATTAATTTATATCAGAGTGAGGAACAATGGTTAAATGTTTTCAGAAAAAAGTTTAAAAATCTGCATAATTTATCTGAAAAAATAAAAATAAAGTTTTCTAAAAACGCAATTTTTTCTTATTTTTATTTTTATTATTTTTTATATAAATATTATTATGGGAAATTTTGTGCTGAGATATGCTCAGAATGCACCAGAGAGGGTCTAAATTTCAAAAATTTCTGGGGGGGGGCGCATATACGCTATAATTTGTTTCCGCCCCCCCCCCCCCCCAATTGATTATACTACCTTCATTATTAGGATTAGATGATTCATTCTCCTATTTTCAATGAAAACATGCGGATTTTGGTCTGAAAAACCACAAATTGTTCTCAGATGACTCTTGAACGTAAAAAATGGTCGTTTCATTCAGTGCAATTTGAGGAGCAATTTGCTACCTGATAATATTTTCTTGGAGCATTTTTGTTGCTACCTGAATATGGGAATTTGCTCCTTGTTTTAGTAGCAGGTAGCAAATCCTTGCTACTGGTAAAAAAAGTTAAGGTCAGACCCTGAATTTGGGTATTATTTTTCAAATTTTGGCCCAATTATTTTTCGCGGACATACATGTATTTGTGCCTTTCCCTCTGTTTTTTAGGATCGTCCTTTGTGTTTTGTTAAACATAGCCTTCTGGCGGTTCCAGGAGGGGGGAGGATGGGGCCCTAGGCCCGGAAAAAATGTTAGCCCAAAAATATTGCAGGGCCTCTTTAGTGGGCCTTTTTGGGCATTACTTGACCTTTTTGAGCCTTATTTTTTCAATTTCAGGCCGAATTTTCAAAAACGGGCTATTACTTGACCTTTTTACTTGACCTTTTTGGGCCTTATTATTTCAATTTTAGGCTAAATTTTCAAAAACGGGCCATAAATTTTCAAAATTTAGGCCCAAATTTTGGTTCTAGGGCCCTAAAAGGTTTTCCGCGTGGCCATAGGATAGGCCCAGTTAAAAATATTGGCCCTACAATATTTTTTAGTGGGCCTCATTAGGCATTAATTGACCTTTTTGGGCTTTATTTTTTGTTCAGTTTAAGGCCAAATTTCCGCCCGAATTACGCGAGGCCTTAGGATGGGCCTAGAAAAAATGGTGGGCCAAAAATATTGTAGGGCCTCTTTAGTTGGTCTTTACTTGACCTTTTTGGGCCCTTCAAAATTTTGGTTATAGGGCCCTCAAAGGTTTTCTGCGCGGCCATAGGATGGGCCAAGAAAAGAATGTTGGCCCAAAAATATTGTAGGGCCTCTTTAGTGGGCCTTTTTGGGCCTTACTTGACCTTTATGGGCCTTAATTATTATTTCAAAAAGCTGGCCATAAATTTTCAGAATTTTGGCCCAAATTTGGTTTTAGGGCCTTTAAAAGTTTTTCCTCGCAAGTGCGGATATTTTTCCATGACTTAAAGTGTGGGCCCCCCTTGTTAGCTTCCGAATCCGCCACTGTCCTTTACAATACAAAGGGGCTTGGTTTAGCATGGGGAATTTTTTTTGGGGGGGTTGCGGGGGGGTCGAGTCCCCCCTTACAAAAAGCTGGCTACGGGCATGGTATTGTATGGGATTGAATTATTTATAATCTTATTCTCATTCTTAGTGTTTTGAGGGCAAAATATTTTCTTGGAGGGGGGCAGTTGTAACATACCGTCATCTGAGATAACCCAGAAGTCAAATCAAAATAACCATATTTTCACTTACCTTCGATTACACCAAATATTATGCTTCTACGAATACCTTTGAGTCATTGATTGTTGATAAACATTAACAATGTTGGTAAACAGTGAGGAGAAAGATGCAAACGTTTCCTATTATTTGACAAATCTTCTAAATTTGGAATATGATGTTTGGGGAATCCCCGTAAGAAATTCCCTATTTAAAGCGAGGCTATTTTGAGAAAGCCGTAGTTGATTTCCAAAGCCATCGAGATCTTGAACAAGATAACATTCAGCAAAAGTAGATCAGTAGATTATGTGGGTGAGTAAGATTTGAGCTTCATTCATGTTCTAAATAGGTATGATAGATTGAATACTAGATCTAGAAGGAATCTCAAAGAGATTAAAGCTAGATTACTGAATGAATTGGACTGATAGATTTTTTGATTGTTTTGATGACATTGTATCGACATTGTCGTATCAATTGTTTTGGTTTTAGAAGTCTATGAATTGCAAATATACTTTCACACGAAATATAAAGGCCCCATAGTTGGATGAATGATTATATCAAGTTTGAGTAACGAATCAAATATTTTAGCGCCATTTATAAAAGCAGACGGCTTTTGTTGATGTCACGTGACTTAATGTTTACCAACGCATCCGTTTATTAATTTACCAATATTCTTACTATATCGAATCATTAGAAATATCATAGTACAATTTAAAGGGAGGTTGAATATTAAGACAATTTCTCAACATATTTTTACACATTCTTTTCTGGATCAGTCAGAAGCAATTTGGGGTCAAAGGTTGAATTCTTTGGCGTCTGAAAGTCTGAACTTTGTGGAAGACAATTTATCAACACGGTTTATCTGTTTATTCATATGTTTTCTGGTTTAACTACTTCAAGGCCAAATAACAAATAATTCATATCTTAGATTCATCAAACAGAACTGTTTTTAGGCCGCATTTCACATGACATAATTTATGTTGTGATTCTGAATGTTTAACTTACAAGTTACATGAATAACAGATTTAGATAATTTTGAATTATTACAGATCTGATCTAGACATTTTCCTACATTTCTATTCATACATGTAGTATTGCACATTGACATACATATATTTAATTATCACTTTTAATCTTTATATTAATTTGCTATATTTATAAATCATATTGCATGACATTATTTAATCACCATATTTATGTTATCATAAAATCATTAGATCTAATCTTAATCATATTCATTGTATTAATGTGTGGTTTTGTGTGAACCTTCGCCTGCATCTTCTCCTAAAATTTACCTATTGCACTGTGGGAGTGGGTTAGCTTGCACTTTCCTTATTATCCCATCAAATTGATTATTTTTGTGTTTGCTTGATGATTAACGCAAACAATAAAAGACTAGTCATTACATCACTTTTTACCACGCTTACCACATTAGTATAAGTTGTGAATGCTATTTCGACTAGTATTTTATATTTGCTTGATTTAATGCAAACAATAAAAGACTAGTCATTGCATCACTTTTTACCACACTTACCCTAATATTACAAGTTGTGTATGCTTTTTCGACTAGTACTTTATTGTACCATGTGCATAGCAGCCGGGGAGGCAAACAACTACACTATCAGTGAATGATGCAAACAAGAGTGAAACTAGTGCATTTATTTTTGAAAATGTTGGTCCTCTATCTGCCCTACTAGAGTAGAGTTCATGACCTGACTGCGTCGATAGAACTTGGAAAATAAGATTTACCTGAAGATTAGGAGTCTTACTTACCCTCTAGAGCAGGGCTTGCATTAACGGCGTCCCGTACATGTTAAGGACTCAAAAATAATTTGGAGGAAACAAAAATTGAAAATATTTCCGTTTTTTGGACGCGAAATTTTTTTAGGTCAATACTACAATGTGTTTACAACGATACCTAACAAAAACAAATAATTATGATCTCTCACCTTTATTTGAATCGTAAATAAGGCTCAACATGTTGAATATTTACAAATAATCATGATTCTCTCGAATTTTTTCGACTTTGTTTATTTTTAGATTTGAAACCATGACACACGCCACAGTTTTTCCTATTCAGAAACAAATATTAGGTTATTCATGAAATAAAATGTATTCATTGTCGAATGAACGAACAACGTTATTCAGTCCGTACTTAACGTTTACTTCCATTTTAAATTCGCGGCAAGAAATCAAAAACTGAAAATATGACAAGTAAGGTTAGA